GGAATGAGGGAAGAAAAACTAATACTAAGGATGCTTGAAAAAGTCACATTACTTTTTTTTAAAGGCCAGCAGAGGGCACCAGACCTCATTCACGGTGGTTGTGAACCACCATGTGGTTGCTGGGAATTGAACTCAGGATCTCTGGAAGAGCAGCTAGTGTTCTTAACAGCTGAGCCATCTCTCCAGGCCATCACATTACTTGTTTACTTACCTAAATTATGTATACCGTGTGTGTGTGTGTGTGTGTGTGTGTGTGTGTGTGTGTATCTGTCTGTCTTAAATGAAGTTATATCACTTTGGCTGATGATGCAATCCCCACAAGCCATTGACTGTCTACCAAAAACCCTAGGCACAAAAACACCCTTCTCAAGTTGTTGAGACTTCCCCAAACAATATAGGTTATTCTGCTACTCTTGGTTACCTCTCAGAGGTTGAAGATTAAGTCCCTATTGCTGAAGACACCATGCACTTTGGACATAGGATCAAATTGAATATTACCTGGAAGCTTCCTGAGAAGTAGCTTTCATAGCACCAGAAGCTACCATACAAGTTGCCAAGGGAGGTAAGCAACCAACAGTCCCACCCAGCTGTGATGCTTATGAACCACAATATCCTGCAAGGTGGGATATCCCTAAAGGTGCAACAGTTTAACTCAGCCCACTCAAAAAGGGGGTTGTGCCCCAATTCCTCCTGAAGCATCCACATTAGAAACAGCTGCACTCATATTTGCTTTTTCCTCACAGGTCAGCAGCTTAGCTAATCAGTCAGGCAAAAGTGAACCATGCATTAATGCCGCCGTTCTCAACCTTCCTAATGCTGACCTTTAATACAGTTCCTTATGTTGTGGTGACCCCCAACCATAAAATTATTTCATTGTTACTTCACACCTGTAATTTTGCTACTGAGCAGTGTTACAGTTCCTAGGACATCAGGAATGTGCTTTCTGATGGTCATGACCCATGGGTTGAGAGCTACTGCAGTAAAATCACAAGTTTGCCATTCAGTTTTACTTACTTCATGGGTGTATCCTTTTTATCACATAACCATTCAAACCTCAAGATATTGCAGTGTCCACAGCTAGAATCCAATGCCCTGTTAAGTATACTGAAGCCCCACAGGTCAAGACTTACTTTTCTACAAAGACCTATGGAAAGTACATACTGCTCAAGTGACAACTCAAGTGCCCAAGTTTAGGTAGCATCAGCTGCTTCAGTGGCAGTAGGTGGTGAAAGTGGAATCTTTTCCCCTGAAATTATTTTTCCTTAGGATTACTAGGCCTGGAAAGGGTTAAATTATTTCTACCTGCCTACCGTGGTAAGCTTTCCAAAGCTTTTGTGTAGTCATAGGTCATAAACATGTTCACCAGATACTTTATCTCATTCTCATTTGTGACAGTTTTTTTACATACCTTAGATTGACCTCAAACTTCTGATCCTTATGCCTTCACTTCCCGAGGACTGGATTACAGTTGTGTTCTATACCCAGTTAATGTAATATTGGAGAGGGAACTCAGGACATCCTGAAATGCTAGGCAAGCATTCCACCAACTCTCCACCTCATTTCCATTTATTGCCACCAGTCCTAGGAGGGTTACTCATTTATGCAAGGTATGCTTCTGGCTTGATCCCTTTTGTAGTTTCCAAGGGCAAGGCATAGTTTGTTTCAAGTTATCATTTGTGAAGTAGTGGATCAAGGCAAACCACACAGCATATATAAGAAACGAAGGTTTAATATTGATAACGTGTTATCAAAGAAAGGGTGATCATGAAAGCAGCACATGGATTCCATTCTCTCATGACAACAGAGGCATAGCTGAATACCTGTACTCCAAAAGTGTTTCTCTGTGGTCTGTCGGCCCACAGAGCAAGACCTATGGCTGTCTTGCAAAAGGAGATACAAATTAAGGCTTACATGTCAACCAGCTTGAGCCTAGATGACAGCTTTCAGCAGGGACAACTGTCTGTGAACACCAGCTGCTAGCAACTGTAACCTTAGGTGCCATGGGGTTTGCATTAGGATTTGGGCAAAGCCCCTTCAGCAGTTAAGTCCAGTTGTGCTCCTATACTTAAGTACAAATCTGATTATAATTTTTCAAAGGCTCTTACATTCAACTTCAATTTGGTTTCTAATATCCTCAATAGTATCTCTTTACTCTCAAATTCTAAGTGCCCTAGTTATATATCAAACTTGGAAGTTTCCTGAAAACAATGGGCTTAACATGACATGCATAGATCAATGCCATAGCCAAATCTGTTTCTCTTTGTTAGTATTTAGGCATTTTACTGGCCTGCCTTTGGAGTTCTGACAGGATACACCCCCAGTTGCTGCCAGTAAGAGCACCACCTGTGCCTAATTCAATGTTTCCTTTTAAAAGGGCCCTGCCAATCTCCCATCCCTCTCTATTTCTCTTCCTCCCCCCCCGTCTCCTTTTCCTATTTCCCACTGCTCCCGTCCTTGAGGCTGGTCTTCCCTTTTATGATCAGCTCTCCTTAATAAAAACCCCTCCGCTTGAACTCTGTTGCATGGCTGCATGCCCTCTTTCTTGAGGCATTTTAACCTCATCCAAGAAGTCTTTTTACTGACTCCATGCCAGTCCTGTTTGGATTGTGGCCCTCTTATATGGTTTCACCTAACTGAGCATCTTGGCAGTGGCAATGCACTATGGATGGGATTGTCCTTTAATTCAATGTTGACTTTCCCATTATATTTTTAAATAAGGTTTCTCCACATAAAACACAAATACAGTAGAAATGTGGAATAAAAATGCTTACAACTAGCCCTGCCCCAAGCCATGCTTTCTTTTAAACTGCATTGTATGGTATATATGGTGTCTGTGCTACATTAGTACCAGCACATTCTAATGACAAATATCGAGTCCCAGCACTCCGTTCTTCTACACAGTATCTTACATGTCCTACTATCTAGAAAACTCTGACAAGAATGCCTTAGAATTAACCAAAAGAATTTTGATCTTGAACAAATAGGTTATCATTTTCCTGCTCAGCATAAACCATCCAAACTCTGTGCAATACTGAATAGTGATAATTCTAATTCCCAGAATTCTTTGCAACAGCCTGTTGACATTTACTTTGCTTCATTTCTCAATCTATTTCAATAATCAAGGATACAGTACATATAAGTTGGTCACAAAGACGTTTAAACACTCAATTCTGAATTGTAGACTTTTATTACGTGGCACGTGAAAGATTTAAAAAACTTTTATACTTTCCCATTAACATAAAGCTCCTTGGTATAACAAGAAAATATTTAAAACAGCCCGAAGAAGAGATGCCCAAGATGTAAATCCTTGTGCCTGCAAAGCTTTCTGAGTAATCCAGACTTGTACCTGGCAATGGCTATTTCAAAAGAACTGAGTAGACTGTAGGATCTAGGAGAGAATCTAGTACTATTATTCTTAAAATGAATATAGTACTAAACTACCTCTTAAATATTTATTTTTATATTCAACTCCCCTCAGAGGTTTCCTTTTGTAATAGAAAGTAGATGGTGGTCAATATAGACTCAAAACTGGTCAAACTGCAGTAAGACTGAGAAATACTGGACCCTATTTGGGACATCTTTATTACCCCTCCACCCCAAGGCAGAAAAACTGTTAAGAGCTAGAGGTAACGAAGGACTTCTGTGGAATGTTTTCTGGATACGTGACAGGACTGCTTCACACAGAAACTCACAGTGACTGATTATATATACATGCACAAGATTGGCACAGTACCAAATCAGCCAAAATTCTAGCATTCGTGAGCATTCCACCTCTCCCTACCTGATGGACTTTGCATCTGATGTCTGCTGGGGGTAGGAGGAGAGAGTATGTTTTCTTCAAGGATTCAGTCCCTGACAGGCTACCCATGCTGCAGTAGAAGGCCTTATGGCCATGAACATACTGGTAACAGTAAATGATTTAGATAGTGGGTTTTAAAAAAACCATTCATGACCTTTGGAGAGAAAAGTGGAAGTGAGGAATAGAAGGCGTAGGAGGGAAGGGAATCTGGGGTGATGATAATCATGCAAAACAACAACAAAAACACCCTCAAATGATAAATTAATTTTGTTTTGTTTTCTTGAGTTCAGAGAGTAAGTAAGGTGCTTCCCTCTAAGCCTGGGGGATTGACTTTGATCGCTGGAACTCTCAGCATGGAAAGAATCAACTTAAAAACTTGTACTCTGACCTCCATATGCATACTGTGGCACATGTGTGCATATGTATACACACAATATAATAAAAATGTAGTTTTTTAAAATACAAATATCTACTTGCTCCCCCATCCCCAATGGCAGGGTGTGCTGATGTGTTCACAGACACAAGTTTAATATATTTTTTGGAATCCTATCCCTTAATATACTGGAATTTTATACTGGAGAACACGATAGATTTAAGTATTTTCTTTCTTGTTTTACACTTTTATTAAGCTTTTTCATACAATATATTCTGATCTTGGCTTTCCCTTCCCCTACTTCCCTCAGGCCCTTCCCACCTCTTGCCCACCCACTCATCTTGCCCCCTTTCTCTCTCTTTTGAAAGCACACAAAAGCCAGGATCACACGCATATGAAATCCCATCATTCAGAAGGTAAGAGATAAGGACTGCCATGAGTTTGATGTGAGCCATTCCAAACCAGCTTCAGTTATTGTGAGACCATGCCACACTGATAAATAGGGCTAGAGAATGGCTTAGCAGCTAAGAGCACTTACTGCTCTGTACAATACCTAAGGTTCAGTTTCTAGCACCCATATGGTGGCTCACAACAAGTTGTAACTGCAGTTTCAGGGGATCTGATTCCCTCTTCTGATCTATGTGGATAGCTACATTCGCAACACACACACATTCACACCCCCCAATCCATACACACACACCCTAAAACAAAAAAAGAACAAATAAAATGATCATTTGCTTCGAATGATAAATATCTCCTCCAGCCCCAACACATTTTTGCCATTTATGTCGAAATTTAAAAGCAGAGCAAACATCTGTCAGACTAATATTTTGCTTTTTCATAAGTGCAACTTTTAATAAAAATTTACATCTAGATAAGATAAACAATCTTCAGATTTTTGAAACTTTAATAAGATTTTAAAAACATGACTTTAAACTGAAAAACATACACATTTTGCACACAGATATTGTAATATGAATCAACTCCAACTCCATTTGAAAACATGTGAATCAAATTACAGTTTTAGAAGTTAGTAATTCACATTTAAGCAAGTTAGCGCCTTGCTGAATTCAGCCTTTGTAAAAAAGAGACTTAGTGCATATTTTAACGGTACATTGTGACTGTGTACCATTTATTGGTTTTTCACCTTATTAAAGAAGATTACGTTCTTGAAGGTTGGTAAATAACGGCTAACCTCTTATGACATGGAATTTCCAATGGTAACAGTTACATTTTGTAACAGAACACTTTCTATAGATTTCTCTCCTATCTTAAAATTTTAAAAGCAATCATTGTAAGGATTGCATCAACATCAATTTAGCAGAGGAAGATCAAACTTTATTGAAACTGCTTGCATACAAAATATATTGCACTATAACCAAACAAATGTCAACATAAAATCCAATCTGTTGTCGCTAATATGTACAGAGAATATTGCCCAAGAGCAGTTACATTACAAGGTCATTCTACCTTGGTTAATTATCTACAGTATTTTAAACTGAACAGCTTACAGATGATGTGTGCAAGGTACCAATTTCTGTTTTCAAATACTATACATTCCCAGAATAAATAACTAGAAATCAACATTAATGTTTGGCAATACTTTTTAAAAGACCGTTTAATATTTGTGAAATCATGTGCAGTTTGTTATCATTTTATATGCTTATTTGTATGCAAGGAAAAGTAAATGAAAAATGAAAATTCAAAGAAACAAATTCACAAAGTACATCAGAGGCAGAACTTCGGTTTGTACGGCTCTGTACAGATTCAGTGGTACCCCTACTCGGAGTTATTTTTTAAGAAAAATATAACATCTCAGAGTGAAGGTCCTTCACATATTTTTCTTCAGTAAATTTCATTCATTAAAAAAAAAGAGAAACTCAAAAATAAGACTCAAACCATCAAAAAAGAAAAAAAAATTATTTGTTAACCAATTCTAGGTCTGCTTTTCAATTTCTGCGTATACATTAGACTTCATATTTCTTCCAAAGTTACAAAAAATTTAACCTGCTTTCAATGTTTCTCAGACAAAGTACCTCTACTTCTGAGGGTTACTAAGTGTTCAAGAAAATGACCTTCATATCTCTCCCAAAGTAAGCTTTAACGTAAAATATGAATGAAAAACAAAATTTGGGGAGGACAAAAGAAAAAGTCTCTCATCATCAGGCCAAAGAGCAGGCATATCCTACTAACTTTAGACCAGGAAGATTTGCAAGTAGCTGAAAACATTTTTTTAGCCTCTCCCAAATGAAAAGATAGTTATTTCTTCTCCTGTCTATACAGAAAAATTACACATCCCTTCCAATAACACTATTTGTCATACTTCAGTGCAACAAAACAAAAACAAAAAACAAGTCCTATTCTTTATACTGCCTAAGCTGATGTTTATGTAAAGAAAAAAAATATGGAAAGCATGCATTCTTCTATAAAGTACTAATGTTTGACAGGGTTTGCTACATCTTTAACATTTAGTGTTTCCAACTTATCTTCCCTGAACTCTGCATCCAAATATAATATTCCTACCTGCCAAGATATAAAAAAGGCACAGATCATACAACTTTTTTTTTTTGCTAATGAAAATGACAAATGTCACATCACACACGTTTCAGAGTCCACTAAAATACTGGAAAAGTGGACCAAAACATAAACTGACACAGGACATGAAATGGCACGGCATTTCATGGAGACTTTATATGAGACTGAAGACAGAGATCTAGTATGATTACCACAAATGTGATTTACTCAGAAAGACTGAAACGTACTGCTGAGTTATAGCCCAATGCAGAAAAATGGTCCTAGTTAATAAAGATCACTGCTTAGTATTTTTAAAAAATAAAAGTAAAATCCTGCCCTGAAGTGTTAAGTGTACTTAAAAGTTATGCTTCAAATTTCAAGATCTTTTGTGCAAATCTGGAAGATTGTATTTTATGGCCAATATCAAAATAATTCTTTGCAGAATTTGTGTTCATTTCATGCTCTGTGCCATCTTGCCTACTACTTGTCTTTGGCCTAACAAGGTTTTCTAAAATGGAGTAAGAATCACGGAAATGGTAGAGGAAATATAACTTCGGAATTATGCAGTTTAGGGTACTCCATTCACGAGTGGTTGCTGCCCATCCACGCTGTCTGGCTTTTCCTTCTTCTGGTTACGATCTTTACCCGTGCGCAGTCGGTTCCCTTCACTGGAGGCATTCTGAAATGGTTTGGTGTGGACACTCTTTTCATTATTGCAGTCAACTCTGATCTAAAACAAGTTATGGTGGTTTTATATATATACACACACAACAGATCCTACTTGAATGGCCTGACAATGTTAAAAGGGGAAACAGAGGTAGATGGATCTGAGTCCTTAGCCAGCTTATTTTGCAACAACTGTGAAAACCAGGGACACACAATGTCTTATTATAGCTTCACCAGAATGAAAACTCAAACAACCCATTCAAGAGCTAACTTTACTTTCCACCTTTACATTTATCTTAAGTTTAAGTAAGGTCTTCTCCACCTGATCTCCCTTTCTCCACCAAAATTCTCCACCTGATCACTTAGAAACCTCCTCTGTAGCTGCTTCAAAGTCTAAATACTGGGGGCTAGGAAGACAGCTCAGCAGTTAAGAGCCCCTGTTCTTCAAAAGGATCTGGGTGCAGCCCTAGTGCCCAATGGTGGCTCACAACTACCTGTAACTTCAGTTACAGGAGATCTAATGCCTGGTGCACCTATATACTCATACACATAAAATAAATAAATTTAATAAGAAGACATTTTAAAATTCTAAATAATGTTCTGGCATAAATTTTTGGTCTTAGTTTGTATCAGTCTAGTATCAACTGTAGAAAAATAGTAGTGTTACTTTCTAGGAACTTTTATTTCAGTAACAAGAATCATATGGTTCTATAACTTGAATGCTGAAGAATAGAATGACAAGGGGAAATCTGGAAACAATGATTTGTAGAACTAGAATCCTAGGAAGGTATAAAGATTAATGTAATTTAAAATACCATTCTAAGGGGCATAAACTAAAGTGTGAATACTGAATACTACTAACCTTTTTTATTCTGCTCCTTCAGAAACTACTATTAACACTCCTTTAGATTTGGTATGAATTACTTTTATTTTTTTGGACTTTTGAGACAGGGTTTCTCTATTGCTTTGGAGCCTGTCCTGGCACTCACTCTGTAGACCAGACTGGCCTTGAACTCAAAGAGATCCACCTGTCTCTGCCTCCCAATTGCTGGGATTAAAGGCGTGCGCCACCAATGCTCAGCCAATTTGATATGAATTCTACAGATTGTACTATAAAGATTTTGAGTTAAAATTAGCCAATAATGTGTATTGCTTTCTAGTCAGAAAGGAACTCTTATTAAAAGTTTAGACTGAACAATTACAAAAAAAAATTCAAAAAGAACAGGAATTCTGAGTATTAGATACTAAAGTCTGAATGTCTATCACTCCACCATATACTACCTAAGTGACTGTGGGCACTGAACTGCAGCTTCTGTTTACTTACCTATAAATTAGATAATAAAACTTCTTACCTCAGTGGATTACTGTAAGATTAGGTGAGATAAAACACACATGAAGCAAGCACTTAGTAGAGGAGCCTGGATATGTTCAGGGAGTAAATTTGAAATTACTTAACAACTGGTTAAGCACTGACAAAGCTACTTGAGAAAGGATCCTAGTCTGTGCATGTAAATGAATAGCTGACCCACAAGGACATGGAAACTAGCTAGACACCATAAGCCCTATCTTACTATGACTATGAGACAAATGAAGTCAAGATGCCATCCCTAAAGTTAAAGGGAGAGGGGACCTGACTTGGGTCACTTAAACATTTCATTCAGAATATTCTTTTTTTGGATATTATAATGCGGTCTGAAAATTATAATGTGGTCACCAGTGTTCACAAATACTTAAGACCACATATCCTCTGGAGAAATCCTCATATTTGTGTATTTGTCACAAAAGATTAAGCTTGTCCACAATTGTAATGCTGAAGAAAAAATATTTAATATACTACAAATATGTTTAAAAATAAAGTAAAATAACTTCTCAAATCTCAAATGGCCACATTCAAACTACTTAGATGGAAAGAATCACCTAAGTTTTACCTGCAGGGATCCATCGGCTGTTCTTCCTTTAGCCTCCCTTGGATTACGTGGACGATTATCTGTTCGGGAATGATCGTCGTTTCCTATATGAACATTTTTAGAATGTCAACAGTTAGTGACTCTAAAAAACTTGCTAGAAATTCTGCACTTTCAGATTCCCCACTTACATCAACAATATAAATGAAAATACAATAAAGAGTCTACTAATTCCAAGTATACAGTGGATAATAATCCATTCTCCCAATAAGAAACAAAATATCCTGAAGGTACTATCTTATGAATCAACAGGTCAATCTAGTTTAACAATCAGTTGCTGATTAGAAACCCCATAAATAGTATGAATTAGTTTTTAGTTTTTATTCATAGTTTTCACAAATCATAAGGAAGGTGTTAATCTGGCACTACACAAACAAAAAAATAATCATTTGCTATGATGATAAGCACAAGATAGGTAGGTGATATTGCCAAGATTTTTTACTCAGCTTCAAACAGTTAATCTTAATTTTTATTTTTCTTTAAAACATATTACATTTTTATTAATTTATTTTGGGGTGTGTATGTGTTGGGATACATATACCACAGCTTACATGTAGAAGACAGAGGATAAAATAGCATGTTACTTCATTCCTTTCACCATGTGGATCCTGGGGATTGAACTATGGTCTCAGGCTTGGCAGCCAAGTATCTTTCTCTACTGAGTAATCTCAGTGGCCCTTAACCTTTACATCTCAGTTATGTAAACCACTATACCTTTGAAGCCTCCTCCTCTTCCTCTTCCTCCTTGTCCTCTTCCTCCCCCTCCACGCCGCCGTCCGTCTCCTCTGCGCAGGAAGCTCTCCCTCTCTTCCTCTGTTGGAGCTAATGACCAATCACTGAGTTCGTCTCTGTGGTCAGATTCTGTTTCAGAAGCATTTGATGCTTCAGAATTAGTTCCTATCGAGAGTTAAAAGTTATATACCATTGTCTGACTTTTAAAAAAGGTTAACAGAAGCTTCCAGAGATGAAGTTTCAGGGGTGACTCAATATTCTTCCCAATTTAGAAGCCTACCAAATATATTCATTTCCTATGTTTAAAAACAAGCAATTATAAATTCAAAATGAAGGGCTTCTCATATCCGAGGTAATTTTGGTTTTACTTTCTTTTAAAGAAAAGGTGTTTTGTTACCTACCTAAGTTCAGACCTGAATGTGCCATATCTTTAAATAACTGTGATCACGGAGGGAAAATTGTCTATAAAAATGCAATACTTTGATAATAAAAACTTCTATAACGAGAACTTTTAATATCAGGCACGGGAAAGAAGAATGTGCACATTTTGGCCAACTCTAAAAGGGGCCAATAAAGGCCAGCACGGTGTTTGTCTCAGGGAAGGGTGTCTTGTGGGATTATCCCCAATGAAAGGGGATAAGCATTCCTGATGCATGGCCCACAATCTTCCCTCCCACTCCCAGTGGTAGACTGACTGAACAAAGGATCACTATAAAACAATACATTATGTCTGAGGAGTTAATGACATACAGGATGGGAGTGGGGGAAAAGAGCTCCACAGTGAGGTGGAAATTCATTGGTCAAAAGAACAAACTGTTGGGAGAAGGGTTAAGGGTTAGGTTCAAGGTTGGCCTTATGAGTAGGTGTCTCTCCCCACTCTGGAATATCAACTCTACTACCTCTCTCTCTTCCTCTGTTGGAGCTAATGACCAATTATAGCTTCACCATTATAGCGTCACTCCTGTGGATCTTGAAGGCTTTTCCATCTTAAAGAGTTCCCTTTTGAAATGCAAATATTTGTGAGATGGATTATACCTTATACCATCATTAGCAAGTTACATAATAGATACACAGTCGAGCAAGAAAGACAGTAGGAACTCGTAGGTGGGCACTGGGTTCACTGAAAGTTACTGGGATTAAAGAAAGAAGCACGGATAGAAGAGCTGGGAAGGCAAAGAGATACTTTGCCTACTTCTTGACTGTGCCTAGGGCTGACTTTGGCCATGCCCCTCAAAATCACCTTATGAGCCACAGGATGCAGACCCCTGATTTACACAGTCCATCCAGCAAGTATGACCAGCACATGCCTGACAAAAAAATGAGCCACAGTACACAAATGAAAAAAGTTTTGGCTATACAGTAATAAAATCAGAAGAGGTCTTAGGTCATCAACACACAAGGGCTTAAGCAAATTCATCCCCATTCAGAATATGGACAGAACTCACAACTGCCCTGTGAACTATGTGTATCATTAGAAGGCTTTTACTCTACATGTCTCTTGAAAAACAATTTGACCCACTGTGAGTTGGAAACCATGTAGTGAGAAACTGTTATTATGGAGTTCTAATGAATAGTAGAGATTAGCAGCTATTAAGTCTAGGAACAGATACAGTTACTGAGGAAAATGCTTAGTTTGTACCTGAAGTATATCCAGGACCGCGTCTGCCGTGCCCCCTATTTCTGTAAGGTCTACTACCTCGACCCATTCCTTGACCATCATCAGTCACATAGCCTTTTTCCTTATCTGTACGATTTGGTGGTGGTCTAGAACTAGCTCCAATTTGTCGCAACTGCTCATCAATTTGTAATCTCTCCAAACGCAACTGGTCTACTTCCTATTTAAAATATACAAGATAACAGTAAAAATAATTTGACATTTTACTTAGTAATACCTTTCTCCTTTTCATCAGATAAAAAATATACTGGAAAATTTCAATTTCAATTCTAAATTTATAGTAAACACTGTTAACAAAGAATTATCAGAAAACTGAATGGTCTTAAAAAGAAAGATTACTATTGATACACTTACTGATGGCAAGACTTAAGAGATATAACAAAAACACCCAGTTTTAAAATTATACTGAAAAAAATTAAGGTTGTGTGATTTGGCACTACTACTCAATTAGGCTATGGATAAAGCAGAGATGTTAGTTTTGGGACTTTTTGATATAAAATTGACTAAAAACAATACTAAGAAGTATGAAAATACAGATAAATGACATACATTTAAGGTTGAATCAACAAACCTTTAAAAAATCACATTATAAATGAGCTCAGTGAAATTATTTTTTTCAGTTAATATTTTGATTTACAAAGGATTATGCTTGGGGTATTTTTTTAAAGAACATGTATTATTTTTGGATATAGTTATACAATTAAGGATCATTTATTTTGAATGAACTGAAAATGCTAATATTCCTTTAAAAGGTTAAAAAAAACCTAGGTCTCACATCAAACTACCTGGATCTCACATCACTCCTGAATACCTCTTAAAATACTAAAACTCTGCTTAAACAAATATAACAAACTATGCAAATTGAGTTGAACAAAATATATCAACTCCAAAATGCACCGATAGACCCTTACATACAGTGTGTGCAATAACTTGGATTCCGTCAAATCTAGATGAAAACTTCATTTTAACCCTTGCCTTTCTAATATACCCAGGATCATCTCACTTATTAGCTACAGGTAATAAGATCTGTAACTATAGCAAATATTCAGTGTATCAGTCAAGAAGAGGTCATACAAACTAGGTTGTTAAAATCTTGTTTCTGACATCTGGAAAAGAAAAGGTCAGACTGAGAGAGAATCTACAGTGAGTTTTACTTTTTCTCTAACCAGAATCTATAATAAACTGGGTAGAAAAAAAGGAAAGACTATAGCTGAGTGAGTGGCTTCCTCTAAAAGTATATTTCTAGCTCATGGAATGTGTTATGTAGATATTGCATAACAGAATGAATTCCAGGGTTATTCTACTTTGACAAAGCAGTCGGTTTTGGTGAGATGCCAGACCCAACCAAAAGATGATTTGAAGATGCAAAGAATGGCAACAGGACAGCTGCCAATAATCAGAAAAGAAAGCATTGTTGAAAAAAACAAGGGACATGATACAATGCAGCCCTTCCTATCTAGGTCATAATAGTAATTTTAAGCTAAAATTGTAAAGGAAAACACATATGACAGATTGCACATAAAACACACTGTCCAACAAAAAATAAGTAAGCAAATCAAAGTGGCATCCTACCCATGCAAACCTTGCTGGATGAAACCTTCCCACTTTTACTTATTAACTGATCACCATTAAGAATGAACAAAATGACCAGGTACTGCACCTTTATTCTTTCACTCTTGCTTACTAGCAGACTGATTCACATCTTATTCTTTTAAGTCAGCAAACACAACTTAAGATAGTATCATAAATAAAATAGATTATTTTGTAGATTTTTTCAAAAGACCTATATAATAATTCTGGTATATGAATTTTTTTCAGAAATAAGACACCGTAAAAATGAAAACAATATTTCATTTCATTAAATTTTATGACAAATTTGTGCCAAAGGGAATTTGAAAAAGCATTTAGTATAGGGTAGTGACTTGCCTAAAGTCACTTAGCTAGTTCGCAGCTATATTGGCAATCCCGTGCTCTTTCCACTAAAAGCCTCCGGGTTCCTACTTCCCAGCTTGCAAGCTAAAGGAGGCATAACAGTAACAACAGTAAAATGAGTATACACAAGAAGACATAAGTAGTTTGTATTTTGATTAATATAATATAGAGAAAAGTATGAAGAGTAAACATTTACACTGAGGACTTCATGAAATACTAGGATTTCCTTAATAAATGACATAAAAGGAACAACAAAGGCAAGTGCTATAAACACAAAATTTAGTTTGGAAAACATCCACAAAAGCTAGAAGGTTCAATTATATTAACAGGATACATACATATATATATATGCGTGTGTGTATGTATATATGTGTGTGTATGTATATATGTATACACACATGCACACATATATATACACCTAATTGAGTGTTAAGGGTTTAACAGAAAAAGAACTATATATATATAGGAAAGTATTGAGAACTGGGTGGGATATTAGCCCTAAGATTTACAATGAAAAACTCTTCAAAAAAATCAAGAAATGAACTAAAACAATATATTTATTATTTTTACAAGGTCATACATGGTTATACATAGCTTAGAAAGAACAGTTTTGGAAAGATTTACTATACAGTTTTTAATAATTTTAGCACAAGAAGATTGGAAGTTAAAAGTCATCCTGTTCTCACCTTCAAATAGTTCAGATGATAATCCAAAAGAACAGTGGCATTAGCGATGCTGTCTTTTGTTCCCACAAAAACAAATGGTACCATACCCTGAAAAAGAAATTGTAATAGTGAACCTAAAGAACCAGTGATGATTAATCTGAAAAAAATAAAACAACAAAAGGCAACACACAGACACACACACCCTAGCATAGGGTCTGGCAAGCAACAAGCACACAAACATCTGTTTAAAATATAAATCATTTGTAAAACCAAGTTTCACATCTGAATAAGGACAGATCAATATAGTGAGTCCTCAAATACAAGATTGTTTTAAAAGACTTCCATTTAATGTTGGCAAAATAACAAATATATAACTAAAAATTATACAAGTCTTACTGTGAGATGTGTAGTGTAAACGAGATGAATACTTAAGCTTTAATTTATTTATAAGTTACATCTAAATCAAATTTAGTTTAAAATCAGCAGGGATACAAATGTAAAAAACAAACTTAATTTTGCTAACCAAATCAATAGAATTAAAATCAAGAACAAAAATTAGAATAAATTAAATACACCGAGTAATCTGTACACGTACAATAAAAGTCAAGGCAGAATCATAGCCATAGTGTTTAACAAGTCCATATAAACCTCAAAAATATATTATGAAAATCTTACAAAGTTCAATCATGAGAAAAACTTTGATCTTCTATGAATACCACTTTAATATAGGGATAATTTTAAAGGTACAATCTAAATATTTGTACTTAGCATCAGTATAAAAGAAAAAAACCAAATCATTCCATATCACAACCAGTAGGGAAGACTAGCTACTGGTGTACAAAGATGGGACAATTAAGGCACATTTTAAGTTGAGAACAGTTCAATTATTTTGCTACTAAACAAACATACATGGCTATTTGTATTTGCATATGGCTAACTAAAAGTATTAGTTACAAGTGTTTGGCAAAGCTAAGAGGTATAGGAGGTCAAGAAGCTGTCCCTTGAGCAAAGTGTTACTCCTTTCTTCAGAACATTCTCTTGGCACATGTAGGTATTGTTGGAATATTTTTCCCTGCTTGCATTTGGTATACAATAGGTTCAAGATAGGAAGGTAAGTACACAAAATTTTCTTTATCCCTCTACATGAATGTTACTGTTGATGAAGCATAAACCTGAACCATCAGAAAATACTGCTTATAGGCTAATTATCAGCTAGTAGACAAGGCATTGCCTCCCAGAAGCAATGACTATCTCAGCTATCAAGTGCTGTTGAAAACCTGTAAGGATTTTCTTTTCTGTACCACAATATATAAAAATCGTGCCCCACCCCCACCAAAAAAACCCCATATTATTCCTTTTCTCACTAGCACAGTCACAAAGGCATTAACTGTATTATTCACAAGTGTCAAATATCAAGTGACAGAATACTACATGCTTTCCACAAAAATAGGTTTCAAATTTTGTGTTGAAGATTTAATTAGGGTGACTTTGAAAAACATCATCTAAAACTATTTTCTCTTACAACATGGCACAAACTGTTGAGAGTACCCAGAGACTACTCTTAAGTGCTTCATCAGAAAATCTGAATAAACTGAAAGAAACAGAATACCTATACTAGGACAAAATGGTTCTCTGTTCTAAGATGAGAAGTAGGATGCACAGCAGAAAGGAGTATCTGATCTACTCACTTGTAGTTATAGTTCTCTGTATAAAATGGCATTTTGCTTTTAGTCTCTTCTAAGTCATACCATACTTATTATAAGCAATTAAGGTCACGTAAAGGACCCTGACCTCAAGGAGCTTACAATGTTGTTGGGGAAACCAACAAGAAAACATCTAATAACATTATACTCTGATTGAGCACACAGGAGCATGGAGCAGGCAGGAGACCTATGGTAGGTAGACAAGGAAAGCTTCACATACAACATGGTCAAAGTGATATGGTAAATGTAGGAGAAAGAACAGTTGGGGTAGAATAAACCCACACTCAGTTTTCCAGTGGACAAATCCAGAAGCAGCAAAGATTATGATAACTTTATTTTCAGAGAATTCCAACGCCTTCAGTATGGCTTAAACTTCCCTAGAAGACACAGGGGAAGACTGGTAGGAAACAACACTGGACATGTAAGGGAAGACCTTCTAAGTGAAATTATGTTGTTTGAGATTTAATTTAGACCAGGGCCATGGATGCGAATACCCATGAACACTTCTCCACCAGCCCACAACCATGAGGGTCATTTGTAGTCTTTCTTAACAAGGGGAATAAACATTAAAATATCAACTTAAAATGTATTTTTCAAGGAATGGTTTCCTACCTGCCAAGCCTTGGGTTCAGGTTTCTGGGGTTCCCCTGCTACAACTGATGAAACCACTAACACCTAAAGTAGTATAAGGAATGCAAGTGATGTGATTAACTATAATGAACGATACACAGAAGCCTGAACGCAGGACTTTCACTGCAGGACTTCTAAATGCATTTCTAAATAGGTTAGCTCAAATAGTGAAGACCAGTTTCTAAAATATGGCTTTAAGAAATAACTAGCATTATCTAATAGAAGGTATACTTTGACTTATAACACCTGCAAAATTTAAGGAGTTACAGCATGGAAAAAAAGTCCACCCTCAACAGAAAAAAGTGACCCCATTAGGTTTACAGCTTAAGATTTGTCACTGTGAATAAATCAAAAAATATCCATTACTTTGGTTCGTAATCTCATATGGTATCAATCATATGTGAAACCATAGAATATGAGTAGCCTACAAATCTAACCAGAGAAAATAGCTCAAATACCAAATGTGGCATCAGAGCCAAAGATATTACTTTTAATGTGGTTAGAGGTGACAAATTAATTCTTACCCTCTGGACTTTTGTACTGTTAGGTTGAGAAAAATGGGTGCTGTTTTCCTTTGTATCTAAATGTTTCTTTTCTTCAGAGGAATTAGGTCCAACCCTTGAATTATTGGAAGGTAGGGAATTTGGTGGCATAATTTCCTTGATAAAAAACATAAAACACAAAAGATAAAAAGTACCAATTTTAAGATTATTTAGTTCCATTACTGTGTTAATGACTTCTTCTTGTTAAGCACAGCCAGTTAATTATTTATAAAGATATCTTAAAATTCAACATATTAGGAATAAATGTTTAACATTCACCTTTTCCTGTTAAGGATGATGTTTAAGAATAGTGATTGCTATAAAATGTTTTGACATATAAAATTACAAGGGGTAAAAATTATGCAATTAAAAACCAAACCAGGGGTTAGAGGAGATGGCTTAGAAATTAAGAGCATATACTTTGGTTTCTAGCACCCATATCAGACAGTTGACAACTGCCTGCAACTCCAGTTGAGGGGATTCATTCTTTCTTGCGTTCTCTCTCTCTGACACATACATACACTTTAATCAATAGAAAAAAATCTTTAAAAAACACCAAATGGATTTAACTTCAATTAAAATAACAATTTGCAAAAGAGAGCTAGTTAACATGAAAATTATGACCCTGTGTGTGGATAGTATTTTTTTGAGGATTTTAAAATTTTTATTGTTTCACTATTTCATGCATTGATATGATGCATTTAAGTCACTGTTATCCATACTCCTGTCTTGCATTCCACTCCTGCACCAATAGAAACTGTTTTTTCAAGAAGTCACCTCCTGACATTGCTTTCTTTTTGTGTGTTGGTCCACTGAGTTTAGTAAGAGCTACCTGCCTGAGCACAGTAAGGAGGTTATTTGATGGAAAGGACAACTCATCTGTGGCTACAGCATTGAAAAAAAGGACAGGCTCTTCCACAATGTCCACTAATTATCAATAGTCCCTCTGGAGGACTGCATCTTACACCAATAATTTTTATTTCTTTTTCTCTGAGATATAGACATCCATTTTTGTAAAATGTGTTTAAGATGTTTAGCTGAAGCAACATAGCTAAAACAGACAGTGAATTGGCAGGAAAGTAAGAGTAGTTTTAGACAGAAGATAAGAAACTGCACTTTTTAAATTTATAGGTAAAGTGGATAGTATCTTCAGAGTACAACTGCATAAAGAGTCATGTTCTCTCTTCTCACACTCCACACAAATACTTCAACGTTTACTACCAATAAGCACATATCCAAAGCAGATATAAGAATGAGGGTTGTAAAAGTCAAAAATGAGGATATTGGAGAAAGTGATTGTATGTGCAAAAAAAGCACACACAGAATGAACACACTTAATATACAACCCTTAAAAATATTTACAAAGGCTTCCTTCCTTCCTTCCTTTCTTTTTTGGTTTTTCAAGATAGGGTTTCTTTGTATATTTTGGAGGCTGTCCCAGACTCACTCTGTAGACCAGGCTGGTCTTGAACTCACAGAGATTCCCCTGCCTCTGCCTCCCGAGTTCTGGGATTAAAAGCATTAGCCACCACTACTTGGCTTTCTATACATTTTACTTGTCATTAATTGCTGATGCAGTGATGTTTTTTATAATAGCAAACTCATGACTACCCATTATAAGATTACAGGTTTAAAATGACTAAAGTCCAGCATTAGAAAACATTGTCACAGTGTGGTGCTAGTGCACACCTTTATTCCCAGTACTTGTGAGGTAGAGGCAAGTGGATCTCTGTGAGTGTGGGGCCAGCCTGGTCTACAGAGTGAGTTCCAGGACAGCCAGGACTACATAGAGAAACTGTCTTGAAAAAACAAAAACCAAATGAATCTAAGCCAAAACAGGTAAGTCTATTGTCCATAGTATCGAGCATTTCTGATAATCAGAACATTTATATTCATGCTCAGTTTTAGAGCATATGCCCAGCAGGCCCAAAGCTCTGGATTTGATTCTCATCATTACAAAAAGGAAAAAAATATTATATGGATATAGTACACAGGGAATTCTATATGATTAAGTCAAATAAAACAATAGAAAACTCATTCTCTTTTGACAAACCAGAAACATAAGCACTATTACATACCTCTTCTTGTGGGACATTTTTCTCATTTTCAGCCTCAATCCTCACCCTCACAACTCCTGACTTGTCCACGATCTCTTGAATCAGTTTTCCATTTTTTCCTATTACTTTGCCTAAGAAATAAATAATTCATGTTTGGCTTTGAGAAGACATCACTCAAATCCTATAAGACACTCTACTATAAACTATCTTACAGATTCATGTATACATACTGGATTATAAGATTGAAAACAGAAGCTGTTTAAGAAGATAGTTTTAATTATAATTTAATCTCTTTGGTTAGGTCATTATTTAACCTTCTTTGCACAGGTACTACAGCTGATTAACCCTTGTGAATTGATTGGGTAATTTTAAAATTTTAAAGGTAATTAAAAGAGAACCTCTTATTTTACATAGAACCATATACTTTAAACTTGCTGGTACTATGGTATTTACCATCCTGTAAAGTTATACAAAGGAGATGAAGGAAAAGACAGATAATAAATGCATTTGCTCATTTGACAATGTCAATTCTTATATAGCTCTGCTTCACATTTCCTCACTTATATATAGAATTGTGTATGACACAACCACAAAGGATGGTCTTAAGTTTCAAAGGAGCTTAGGAGGTGTATAAATATCTAAAAGGAACAAAGATTCTTCAGGTCAATGTTACTAACAATATTATTTCTACGCATGATTCACAATTCAAAGCAGCATATTCACAACTAAAGCTCACTTTCAGATAACACAAAACTCTGATGAAAAAGCTTAGAAGCACTCTTCAGTAATATCTGTAGAAATTCAGAATAATCAACTACTAGTAATAAGTAGCACTTGATTGTTTACCTCATTTTGTAAAATTCAATTATATACAAAACTGGACACAATTGCTTTCATACCCACCATCATACATCAGTGTAAAGTATGAATTTACAAATTAAGCACTAGTAATTCTAGAAACCTATGTAGGAGGCATACCAGATTCCAAGGGCTCAGCCATGAAATGTAAAGCACTTACACACAGTATGAGGGAAGTGCTGCTATATGCTTGTTCTACCACCTAGTTGCTTCCAGCTAGTCTAAATAAGAATCTATTGCTGGGCGTTGGTGGTGCACGCCTTTAATTCCACCACTCAGGAGACAGAGGCAGGTGGATCTCTGTGAGTTCGAGGCCAGCCTGGTCTACAGAGCAAGTTCCAGGACAGCCTCCAAAACAAGACAGAGAAACCCTGTCTCAAAAAAACAAAAACAACAACAACAAAAAAACAATCTAACAAATGATCTTCTTGCAGAAGGGTTCGTCGATCTTGTAATCAGAGCTACAGTTTTGACATTCTTCCTTTGTGTGGCTTTTGTGTGGCTTCTTTATTCCTCCACCATGAGTTCTTTTGTCTGGTCAGTGGTTAGAGAACAGAATTCATGCTATTTAAGCAGGATTCCTAATTTAAAATCTGTAATTGTTTCTGCTTTGCTCTTCTCTTCTTCAAATGAATACCAAGTATATACATAAAACCTACCTGGAGTCTTTCCAGTTTGTTTTTCCTATATAATCCTTATGTATTTATGAATGTTGATTTTAATCAAGGTGTAAATTAGCATAAAGAAAATGGAAATTTTAGTGTGTTTCCATTAAGAAAATATCTTGATTACCCTAAGTACTGGTAAACAAACTCATTGTAAAAGTATGTAAAGAACAAGCAAATTTTTAAGGAAGATAAGTTGGTGTACATACTGAAGAGCGCTTGAGAAAAACAGATAATAAATCAGTAGGTGAAACTCTAGAAATCTCATGTAATACTGATTACAACGTTTTCCTGAACTCCTGCCTAGCAAACCTTACGAAAAAAAATCACTTTCTGAACAAGCCCAGAATTCCCAGTGTCATGGCAAGCTACCCCCAACCAGAATTCTCTCTTACTATCACACAGTTACCAAATATAGCTAAGCATTTCACCTACCATAGCATCATCAAAATAAACTTCAATGGACACCCAAGGTTCTAACATAATCATCTCATCCTATATGGTATGCATGAATCTTCTATACAACTGGTATGTGTGCTACCACAGTAACACTATATTCACCTACTTCTGTTTTAATATACATGTGAGCTACTAATTTTGCCAGTATTTGTACTTTATCTTTAAGCTGTTTTTTATTAATGGGTAAAAATATCATGACTCTTGGACATCTTTTGGAATTAGGGTCTTGCTATGTGTACCCCATGCTGTCCTTGAATTTGTGATTCTTCTGCCTGCCTCCTGAATGCTGGGCGGTAGTAGCACATGCCTTTAATCCCAGGAGGATTTCTGTGAATTTGGTGGCAGTCTGATCTATAGAGCAAGTTCTATGACAGTCAGCCAAAATTCTGTTACACAGAGAAACCTGTCTTGAAAAAGACCTGTCTGTCTGTCTATGTGACACTGGAAGATGATTAGATTCTATTTTGATAAAATGCAGCCTATAAGTCTTTTAAACTATGTACATAAAATACACAGGAAGTTTGTTCATTTTAAACTCCTACAAGAGATTAAGAGGTGATATGCACCAATCTCATTTATAAATTCAAAACACATTTTGGTTTTTCTTCTTGTTTTTACATAAAGCTATACCTTTGGCATGTTCTAGCAAACATAACTGAATTATTTGGTAATGCCAATGAAGAGTTCCTATCCTAAAACTAATCACACTGATGATTAGGAAACAGTATTAATCAATTTAAAATGAAGAATTACCACTGAATCCGTAAAATCCCTAGGATATTAGGAGTTAAATTTATCTTTCAAACTTAATGAATAGTATCATTTTATCAAATATATCACCAAACTATAAAAGCCTCAATTTTCATTCATTCTGAAAAAAGTTTAATGATATGATAAAAATGCTATGAGGAGGTTAGGGAAAATTTATTCTTTGAGATATTTATAGGTCTGAACTAACAAAGTATTTCTTGTATATCTTCTGAAAATAGAATCTTTGAGTATATATTTTCTATACACTGTAGGACAGGTAACATTTCAAAAATTGTTCCAATTAGATTACACTTCTCAGTGATAGAAAGAGATTTAATTGGTATAGAAGTTGTGTACAGAATTTTTTTGTTTTTTTTTTAAATTTTATTTTCCAGTTTAAATTTAGATAAGAAACAAGGTTGCTTCACAAGTCAGTTCCAGGTCCCTCTCCCATTCCCTCCCTTCCTCCCGTGCCCTCCCCCCCTCCCCCGTTATCCCCTCATTTCTCCAGGGAGGGCGAGGCCCTCCATGGGGGTGTGCATAGTGCAGAATTTTTTTGTGATATATATCAATAGTTATTTTTGACTTACCTACTAAGTTACGTGGAACTTGTATGACATCTTCAGCAAATTCCAGAAAGCTTCTAGCCTTTTTCACTGCATCTTGATCCTAATAAAGAAGGGTGAGTGGGTGTAGTATGAAGACAAAAATGATATGCCATTTGAAATACTGTTTGTTTGCTTGGGGGGGGGCAACTGGATTATTTAGTGAAATATTTACCTCTCCATAAATATGAAATGTGCAGGTATCCTCATCTAAATCAATAGCAGTGACCCCAGGTACTTTTCTAGCTTGCTGAATATTAGCACCATGAGTACCAATAGCTAGACCCATCAGATCTTCTCGTACGATAAACTGTTCATGAAATCTTGAGGCAAGCTGCCTTGAACTCTAAAGAGAAATGCACAACTGATGAACATACTTTATCAATTATGAAGACAATTTTATTTAGGTCAGCCATGTAAATTATCTTGACCCTATATATCAGGGTCCTGTAAATTGCTTTACTTGAAAACTAATTTTAGAATTACATCTAAGTTCTTTTTAGGCTACTGAAGGTCTGTGCCATTTAAAACATTTTTTTGTTAACAGGAAAGAGCTTGTTGACAATTTTTCAAGGTTACTTTTGAGAACCTATTTGCAAGGCTGCCTTTGTTATTCAATGATATCCACAATGTAATAATTAAGAAGCAGACAAAATAATCCCAATTACAAAACAGCTCACTTGGTCTGACAGACTCAATGCAACTTAAGTAACAAAATAAAAATACCATCTTTAAGGAAAAATTACTCACTGCACTTTTATTATAGATATATTAGTATTTTTTATAGAAATGGTATCAGTTTCATAATATATCATCAGCATTTTGCTGAAATGTGGCACTAAAACAACACAATATCTAAGGAAAGGAATTCTAAAACTTTCTGGCTTATCAGTTAAGTGAGAACACTTACAGAATATAGATTTCTCAAATTTGTTTCATATATGTGATCAGAGTCTGTAAGACTTTGTGATCTGGATCTACAAGCTTGATGAACTCTTTAAAATATTCAGCGATGACAAAACTAAGTTCCCATGATACCCCACACATGTGGATAATCACTACCTTTAAGTAGCATACCAAAACTGAATGTTTAGTTCTAGCATGCCATTAATGAAAACCAAACAGATTAGTGGCTCATGTTGAAAAATGGGTATTTTTTATAAGGATATATGAACCCCTTTAATATTAGTAGTGAAGAAAATAGGCATGCACACTAGTTTATCATTATTCAACACACCTGCTAATTTGAATGAATGTAAATATCTAATGTAAGGACTTTTAAAAGAAGAATAGTTATTTTTAAAGGAAATAGTAGCAAAGTGTACAAAATCTACGATTTTCCAAGAAGTCACAGTTTTGGATCTTGACTCATTAGCCTGGTTGATTCTTTCCATTGATAATTTATGGATACGCATAAACCAAAGGTATGGCAAAGAGCATTCAAGAAGAATTAGATGCTTAAGAAGAGGTATATGAGTACATTTTCATAATACAATGAAATTAAGAAGGTTGCTGTGGCCTAAAAGTTATGAGAAAATCACTAAACAAACCACAACATTGTGAACATGGGGGACCATCAAGAAAGAATGAGAGCAAAAAAAAAACTGGACCAGGTCTCAGTGGTCATTTGGAAAACAAAAGTAAAGTTTTCCTTTCCTTCTAAGAGTTTAATCAATCACACATCAAGTTGGAAAGTGGCAATTTTCACATCCTTGACTACCTTTTCTTTTAAACTGCAATTTGAAACTCCCCCTTTGTTTTGCTGTATCAACTGACAATTCCCCTAACGAAATGAATAATGAGGGCCTCTTCAATTTGACAACAATCTACTTGAGTTGGCACATTAAAATAAAATCCATTTAGTTTCTATGGTAATGGATGGAAGTACTAGATAGTTATCAATGAAAATAAATGTATGGTGATGGCAATTATTGGAGGATTAATAAAAGTAGATAAAATGCACCTTAAGAGACGAAATAGTAAGTTAGGGAAATAGCCTCTGGCAGGAATCTGAAGACAGGAGTTTTAAAGAGTGACAACCAATTAGAATGAAGAAGTTCTATACCCTTTTAAACAGAGATAAACATACATAATGAAAGGAATAAGATTAGATATTTAAATACTCTCTAGTACTTTAATGATAACATGTTAAATAGAAGAAGCATTGTCTCACTTTATAGCAGCTTTGACAAACTTGGCAAAAATGACTTGTGCAAAATTTCCTTAAATCACATGACTGCTGTGTAATTTCAAAACATCCGGCATGAAAACATTAGTATGATTATACTTTGAATAATTTACTATTCCAAACAATACGGAAATAGGAAACAAACAAGGTGCCCATACTCGAACTTGAGTTCTATGCAGTTATTTCTAGACAGCTTTACCAACAGTGCTAGGGAAAGAACATACCTCCAGTTGCTTACTGGCTTCTTCATTTCTCAGTATAAGAGACAGCTTAGTGCGCAGACTTCGAAAGTGCATATCAATCAACATGTGTGCTCGCTTTGAGGTGACTTCATTGATGGACTGAGTGATTTAAAGTTAACAACGTTGTTACTAAAGCAAATGCCCTAAATGGAATAAAGCAAACTGTACCATTAAGAAACACTCACCAAAATGACCAGCTGATAATTTTCTGGATCATAAGTTACAGAGAAGGCACCCACTGCCTTTTTAAAATCCTTATGTGCCGATTCTTTGGCACACCTAGAAATAAAAAAATAATCATCATTAGCATGAATGATCACCAGTCACCACCACAAATATATAAAGACAGAATTACACTAAGAAGAATCAAGGATTTATAATAAATTCCTTTTATTGTAAAATGCTTGATCTATTTACAAATTATGTTTTTTATACATCATTGAAATAGTCAAAGCAAACACTTGACACAATAAAGGGTAAAAAGGCAACTAATTAAAAATTTAAAAATGAGAATTTCATACGTGGAACTGTATCTGTATCACCTCCATCTTCTGCGGTCCCCTAGCTATTTTTCAAACATTTATTTACCCGTGTGTTACAATATGTGTACATGCATGATGTATATGAGTATACACATGGTGTGTGGGTACATGTGGGCCATGGCATGCATGAGGAGGTAGACGAACAACTTATTGGAGTTGCTTCTCTACTCCCACTACGTGAAACCCAGGGAGCAAACTCAGGTTGTCAGATGTGGCAGCAAGTACATCTATAGAATCATGAGTCCTAGCTTTACATCCCCTCTCCCTCTTTTGAGATATAATTTCATCATGTTATCCTAGATTAGCCTTAAATTATGTAGCTGAAGATGACTTTTACCTCCTAAGTGTTGAGATTACAAGTATGTACCACTACACATGGCTAAACAGTTAATGTTCTCAAGGAATTGCTGTTAGGGTTAGATTGCTGAAGCAGCCACAATAAAGGGAATCACTTTCTTCTGTGTAATTTCTGATTCTGTTTACATATAAGTCAATAACTTTCATGGGCCAAACTGAAACCTAGAGAGATAAGCCACAGGGTATCTGAATTTCTCTTGTTCTTTCTTCTTCTAAAGAAAAGCAGCTAAGTATGTTGAAAAAGAGCAAGAAATACATAACAATGGCTTGCATACATCATCTCTAAAATTAAAAAGAGGATTTGTATGTATTCTGAACAAAATATGACATTTTCTAGGGTAGAAGTCCATATCAGACTTACTGTACCTTTAAAGAAATCAAACTCTTTTTTTTTTTTTTTTTTGGTTTTTACGAGACAGGGTTTCTCTGTATTGTTTTGGAGGCTATCTGTCCAGCCAGGCCTCAAACTCACAGAGATCCGCCTGCCTCTGCCTCCAGAGTGCTGGGATTAAAGGCGTGCGCCACCACCGCCCAGCAGAAATCAAACTCTTATCTGACGTGTTTAACATCATTCCAGATAAGAGACTTTTCCAAGCCTCTTCAGCTTTAACTTTTGATAGAATTATCACTTTGTCATTCTCAAAATCTTAAAAGCTTATGAAAAAGTTGGTTTAGAGAACTTGAAGTATATTACACACTTTAGCCATATATAAGGTAAGCTTAAACAAATACAAGACTTGTTTGAATATACAACTAGAAAAACATTTTTTTTCTTTTCTACTGAAACCAAACTACTTTTGCCAAGACACTGAATTTAAAATCATACTATTTTAAAATTAACAATCTGAATTAGTAACCTATGCAAACTTACATTTATATATGCATATATGCATGCATATGTACATTTGTATAAAGCATACCCTTGCATGTTCCCAACATTTTTTCACATAGCATGTTTTGTATATCAACTTACATTTGTCGTAAATCTTCTGGCACTTCCAGTTTGATCTTATGGAAAGTATCCTTTGTAGCAGGTTTGTTGGGATTAACAGATCGTAGACGCTCAATTGTGACAATTTCATTATATGTAGCATCACAAGCTGCATATTCTATCACATAAAACTAAGAGAAATAAACAAAAGTCATTGTTAGCTATATTTTTAAAACAACACAAAAATATAATACCTTTTCCTGTTTTTTTAAAACAAGAATTAATAATAGCCCAGGCTAACCTAGTACTTACTATGCAGTCAAGGATGACCTTGAACCCCTGATCCTCCTGACTTAGCTACTTGAGTGCTGGTATTAAGGGCATGGATCACCCTGCCCCATTTGTACTATCATTTTGAATATAAACTTTCAGGGAGGGGGAGCTTTAAACAATGAAAACACATAGTATCTAATAAACCTATGCTAAAAACATTTTCATAAAACGACTTAAAATTAGGTAGTAATTAAAGATAGATACCAAAATAAAAATATAGTACCTGGGTTTAGAAAATGTAAATAGTATGAACAAATATCCATTTTCCTACCTCACCCTTTATCATCCTCACTTTAGCTAACCACCAACAGCAAGGCTCTTTTTCATTTGCTCTGGAATAAACCTACACAAAAATTACAAAACAGAATATTTATGATTAATATAATTTAGAACCAGCATATATCAGACATGTCATATCTTTGAAATCATGTGCTACATGCCTTCAACCAAACTGTACCTATATACTGACCTAGATGAAGATATGTAACTGGAAACAACTTGAGAATTTACTATTAAAAGCACTTTGCTTACCTCTTTGCTCTATGTCAGTAATGCTTAGTACTCTCAACATGGAAACTTAAGAAAATATGACATCCATAACATGGTTAGATTTTTCTTCTGTAGGTACTTAATGAACTACAAAGTTGTATCTGAAATAATTTAAACATTATTTTGTTTTATTCTAGTAAGTAAAACTAACCCAAAGTTATAGACACCAGCTACAACTACCTGTTCATTAACTCCACTAATCACTTAGCCCACTAGGGTCCTGGCCTTTATCTTTCCTGAAGGCTACTCTGTTTTTCTGGCTCTTCTTCTACATAAAAAATGGATAGATCTATGCTGGCAATCTTCTGAATACCACTTTTCTGGCTCTCGCACACAATTCTCATAGTTATCTCTTTGGAAACCACTCCAAAGTTCAGTTGCAGCGTGGAGCATGGACTCTTTTGTGAAGACACTAGTAAATTAAGTGTTAATAGAAGGTAAGTGGCGGCACCTGCTGTGCCATCTCATTAGATCCTCAGGTAAGTTTTAGGAGGCATTTCACTGTATCTTACCTATCATGCAACTAAATACTAAAACAAACCAAAACAACAACAACAACAACAAAAATAGTTTCCTTTACCCCTCCAAAATCTTGACACAGAAACAAAGAAACAAAAACATAAACTGGCCTTTGTTTTTACCTAGCGTGCAGTCCACAGGGAAGTTGACAGAAGAGGGTTTTTGAAAAAGAAAAAAACATTTACTTATTTGGTGATATAAGTGTATGGGTGCACATGTGGTGGTCAGAAGACAACCCTCAGGTGCCTATTCTCTTCTTCTACCATGTAAGTCCTGGGGATCTAACTCAAATAATCAGCCTTGATGGCAAGTAGCCAGATCTGCTGAGCCATAACAGCAGCCTAAAAGACCTTTAGGTTTAGGCATCTCTATTTATAACTAAGATCTCCTGCGAAGTCAAGCTCAGGAGATACTAAGTACATTTTCAGGCAAATGAATAATATGTTATCCTATTTCCTCATTTAAATTGTAGAGAGAACACAGATTTGGACATTCAGAATTTCTCTGATTAGACTCTGAAATAATAGTGCTGCCTCTGCATTATCTTCCTTTTAGCTTTTCCCCCCTTCATTTGATTTTCATTTGTCATGACATTAGCTATTCCAGCTAGAATGTAACCTCATAAAAGCCAGGAGACTGTCCCGTTTTGATGTACCTCTTATATTCAGAGCAGAAAAGTAGCATTTAAGGACCTTACTTCATTGTGCTTTCCTCTAACAAGTATTTATTTATTTGCTTTCTTCATACTACAAATATGCATGGAATTGAAAAAGGCATTATGCTAAGTACTCAGAGAAAACAAGAGCTCAAAATGAGGGCTGTGAAGCAGTACGTAAGAGACCACAAAAACTGTTAAGAGTATAAATATAAAGCATAATACAAAACCAATTTTCAATGAGTAGAGAATCACAAATTCAATGAGTTTGATCATCTGAACAGCACCTTTTATTCAAAGATTTCAATGGTAGATGAACAGGCAGTTCATAGTATGCCCTGTAAAAGGACATTTGGGCTACAAATGTTATCTAAAAGATACAGGTTTGAAAAATATATACCAGAAATATTCACCACTACTAAAATTTTAGGTTACTAGTCTATTAAATAGATTTATTTTGTTTTATTTCTTTTTTGAGACAGGGTCTTTCTCTGTAGACCTAGCTGTTGTAGAACTCACTATAAAGACCTGGTGGGCCTCGAACTCATATAAGTTCACCTGGCTCTATTTCCTGAGTGCTGTTATTAAAGGCAAGTGCTACCACATCTGACTCTAGAATTATTTCTTAAACTTGTTTTTAGAGATAAGGATCTCACATAAGTAGAACTGGCCTCTAACTTGCTATATAGCCAACAACACACTCTGAACTTCTGATCCACCTCCTAAGTGCTAGTATTATTATTTTTACAAATTCATTTTGCTTTAAGAGAGACAGTAACAAGAGAAAAAAGTATTACCTAAAACAAAGATTTAGAGGTCAAGCGTATTTAGAGTAAATAAACTTGGGGCAGTGACAAGATAATTCCTGAGTATTGCTGAAATAGTCAAATATAAGCACCATATAACATTTCAAATCATTAATTAAAAGAGATACTCAAAAGAGCATGCTCATTTCAACTCTAACACTCAAGGTACTTTAAATACTGTTAAAAGCAAGGTAAATCTTAAACGTCCAAGCAAATTAAATACACAGATGCCTTCAGTTCTTAGTTATTTCATGGTTGGCGGAACTCACCTCAACTTCATCACTTTCATTTATATCTTTATTATAACCTACAGGTGGTGGGAATCTCACATCATGGAATGGAATCTGTCTGTCTGGCTGCCAGCTGCAAACAAACAAAATATCATTATTTGACTGACATGCTTCTGGTGTTTAATGGAAACTGTGTCCCATGCTGCAATCAACTTTTGTTAACTGTGACTCTTTCTTGTTTTAAAGAAGCAAATGCCTTCAAATGGCCAGTTTTTGATGAGTGGTGGTGCATAACGGCATTATAAAGACATTTTAACATAGTCTACATGCAGCATAGCAGCCTGTGCTTTCACACAGAATCTCTCTAAACACAACAGATCAAACCTATTATTTAAAAGGTTTTCATCTAATAATTTCAACTCTAAGAATTTTAAAACCTAAGTCCATAACAGAAAGTCCTTTGATGCTTAAATTAGTATTGGTAATTGATTGTTAGTAACATCATCAACATAGTTCTACTTGCAAAATAATTACCACCACATTCCATCAACCACAAAAACTGTTCTCTACTTCCCAAGCAACATGGCAGTCAGCACATTAGCAATTCTCAACTCACTTTTCCCCTTTAAATTTTAGATCCCACGAGGTGGTCAATTCTTGCCATGGGTAGCTGGATGCTGATCGGTATGATGTATTAGCATGGACTGGGTTGGTGGGGGGGGGTCTCCTAAACCACAGAAACCCAATGGAAATAGCCTACAGGAGTTCAATTAAATTGTCTACATTTCTTTAAAATAATACTGATAGCTTTAAGATGCGAATATTTTTTTTGCTTTTACTTGCAAAGACATAACATATTAAGCAACAAATTTCATAAAGACACTGGATGATTCAATCACTGGAGCAGTCAATTTTTCCATAAGAAAACACTGATATTTGTTCTGTGTAAAACATGTATTGTTTTATTTTTATTTAACAATTTCTGTGTGTGTGTATATATACATACACACACACACACACACACACACACACACACACACACACACACACATGCCTGTGTATGTGCATGCCCAAAGGCCAGAATAAAGCATCACATACCCCGGAACTAGAGTTTTAGGTGCTGGGATGTGAATTTCAGGCCTCTGTAGGAGCAGCAAGCATCCTTAATTGCAGAGTAACATTTTCAGACTCATAAAATGCCCTTATTTTGGTAAAGTTCATTTTAGTTAAACACTATTAAGGATTTTATTATTTCTGTTTATAAAGAAGAACTATTATATAAGAGGACAAATAAATCAGAATTTGTGGAATTATGTTGAATGATGAAATTAGACTGCCTTTTCTCTGTGACTTATGACTGTATCAGAAAAAATGTAATTAAAATAAAACAGAACATCCTTTTTATACCTACTGATAACTAGTGACTTTTAACATGTTACAAATTGACTGGTAAATTTCAACTGTAAGGCATACATGCAAAATATAAATTTCTTGGTTCCAAAGAAGTGACAATGACTAATTCTTTACATACAGAGATAGAGATGCAAGTCTACTGTTCAAAGATGTTAAATATGGAAGTTTAAAAACTAAGCACCCTAAATAAGCTATTCTTCCTTTCAGTTAGGACGAATCCCATTCTATGAAATACTGTGTGTTTTCCCTCATGCTTTCTTGATGAATCTTTCTCTTCTAACTACCCCCCCCTTTTAGATAGAAAGTCAAAAAAAAAAAAAAGAACCACACACGTGAAGAATAATGAAGAGTCTGCTTAATAGTTTACAGTTCACAGGAGAAACTAAGAGTAAACCAAAATGGCCATTTTGGAAAACAGTATTTCACTAGTGAGGAAAATAAGCAGATAAAAGTATAATCACAATGAGACTGGAAGTATGGCTTATCTGTTAAAGAATGCTTCCAGAGGAGCTAAGTTGGTTCTCAGCACCCTTGTTGGGCAACTTACAACTGCCTCTAACTCCAGTTCCAGAGGGCATATGATACTTCTAGCCTTCATCAAAATCTGTGTTCATGCTGAACATACTCACACATAGATATAAATATATGCACATAGTTAAAAGTAAAAAGTTTAATCACAAAAATCTTATCCCCCAAATTATCAATGATTCCTTCAATAGAGTTATAATATTAAAGTTGTCTATTATGTAATGATGGATCCTTGAAAAAGTAAAAAGGCAATTATGGAACTTTTGTCTTCAGGCATTCAGAGAAAGGTATTCTATTACTTAAACTTGTATTGTAGACTAACAGTATTAGTCTAGAGCATGGAACAGGGTTTATTATTCTCAATCCTATCATCTGTGTCCTTCTAAATGTATATCAAGCATCAAAAGTTACTACTTTGTCCTGCTCCTAGCTAAAAGTTATCTGTGCTTACAGTCTAATTTCAGATTTTTCTAGACCGTGAATTGCAGGTCTGCTCTTAATATTTTAGAAGTTAGGCACTTGTGTTTAATTCTCAGTGTCTGTGTCAGACTGCATTTTGGGAGATTTACTGAGATATAATTAATGAACCTCATAATTCACCAATTTAAATGTACAATTCAATCGCGTGCACTATGTTTTCAGATGTATAAAATTATTGTTAGTGAATTATAGAACATTTTTATCACCACAATAGAAATTCTTCTATACTTTAATTATGGCCTCTTCTCCCACTCCCTAATAAGTTCTAAGGAATCACTATACCACTTCATTATCCACAGATTTTTAGCCTGCTTTAAATGTACTATTAGTTATTGTGGTGTAGAAAAGCTAAATGTCAACACCCTAATATCAGCACCAAATTTATATTTACTTCAGTCTCAAATGGCTACTACTAAAAAAAGTCTCTATTAGTACTCAAATTTAGTGAATAGATTTTTCTCACCCAATAAAATGATAATATCTATACTATGGAATTTTTCACACAGCCCATATACCTAGATCTTCTTCAAGTATTGTTTTGTGATCTAGAAACAGAAATCAGTAGAGATTATCTGTCATAATTACTGATCAAAATATATGAAAAGTAAAATAAACTTAATGTAGAAACTTTTTTCTGGTAAAACTATATAATTAAAAAATACTGTAAAAACTACAACCATTTTTGTTATAAATACCCACAAATTCCTACATTTACAACTTTTATTAAAATCATAAATATTTCTATTTAAACTCTCAGCTACTAGTAGAGAAAAACATGCCCTTTTCATAATCAAATGAACATAAGAAAAGATCAAGACTATACATTCAGGAGCTCTGAAGACATATGCAGGAGGCCTTCCATTGATTAATACTGAGCTCTTTTGGAACGTCTTGTTTGGTAGTATGAACAATATTCAAGCCAAACTTCATTTTAAGAAAATGAGGAAAAGAAGGAATGGGTATAAAACATTCAAAGTCTTCAACATTAGGATTATATAGCGAGAAACTTACTTGTTTTCAAATGCAACTGTTATGGAATCTTCATGAACATCTTTTACAAATGCCTGGAAGAAAAATACAACAACTTAACTTTTAAACTTGAAGGCCAACTAAATTAGAGATATTTCAGAATAAAATGAGTCCCAGTTGTTGTTGGTGGTCCACACCTTTAATTCCAGCACTCAAGAGGCAGAGGCAGGAGGATCTCTGAGTTTGAGACCAGCCTGGTCTACAAGAGCCGAGTTCCAGGACAGGCTCCAAAGCTACAGAACCACATGCCTAGCAGTAAAGGTAAGCTGTAACTTCTCCATAAGTGCTCTATTTTCCTTTTCCCTCTTCCACTTACCTATCTTCTATTTGCTTTTTAGGTTTTATGTCAGAATGAAAGTATAAGTTAAACTTAGTTTATGCACTATCATCTTAGAAATACCTAGAATGAACTCAATGAACATCTATTAAGTGGACTGGTGCCTAAGATGTCCCTCTCCCAGCCTGGGTAAAAGATCTGCTTGTTGGCAGTGCTGTTACTTTGATAAGGGAAGCTATACTGGAATGGCGAGCGCTCTACTGACCCTTTAAGTATAAGGAAGAATTAGCCAAAGACAGTAGAGGATGGAGAAGCAAGAATGAAAGGGCAGACAAGTAAAAGCAGCTTGAGACTAGAAAAAAGTCATCAATAAGAAAGCTGAGATGATGAAGGAAGAATGGGTTTTTAACCCATATGTATGTATATGAGGGTGGGATGGATATCTACAAGTCAAGCAATAAATGTTCCTTTGAGAAGACAGCAGCATCAGGTAATCCTGCTCATACTGGGTGACAAAGTTATTTCCCCAGGATTCATTTCATCAATATGGCATTGGTAGCACACCTTGATGATTCACCTGCTTTAAAAGATAAAATAAAGATTATGAAAATTTCAACCCAAATTGCAAAAGAAATATTGGAGGTCAAGTAAGCAATGTGTACCAGGGATAAAATCCCTATAGGAAGCCCCTGAATGATGATGTGAAGTCAAAGATACAACGGAGATTCCAGACAGCTGGAAATTACAGGAATGTGGAATGTGAGGCCAAAAGCTGCAGGAAGCAAGTGCAACAATGTATAAAGACACATACACACATATATACGTATGTGTATATATACACATATAGTTACAGGTTTAAAAGATGGGGAACACATTTTCTTCCTATCCATCCGATTTTGCTTATTTCCCAGATTTATTTAAATTATTAACATTTCTATAGCAAATTTTAACAACTCTAGCACAATATTAGTCAAAATACTTTAGAATACCCTATTTCATAAGCAAGCATGTGTCCAGTGTGCTAAGGGATTGTTTGTTTGCCCTATTTAATGATAAAGGTGCCTGATTTTGAGTTAAAAGTTATAAGAGTTGTTCACTCGGGCTCTTGGTTTTATATAGCATGGAATAAATTTATGGAGAAGGGAAAGGATACCATTTCATGCCCAGGCATCCCCTGTCCTCACACAAAATACCAAGTTGCTATAATTTCTGGGGGAGATTATTAGACTCCCAACTAAAACCAAGACTTTTCATTATCCTTTATTTATTTACTAAGGAAAGGTAACTGTTTCCACATCCTTGTTGAAAGTTGTATGACATTTGCATATCTTGGAAACAGCACAACACTAGTACTTTTTTATTATTTAGACTACAAACAAACTTGTTTTACATGTCAATCCCAGTTCCCTCTCCCTCCCCTCCTCCCCTACCTCCACTGACCCCCAATCCTATCCCCTTTCTGCTCCCCAGGGAGGGTGAGGCCTTCCATGGGGGATCTTCAAAGTCTGTCATATAGTTTGAAACAGGTCCTAGACCCTCCCCCATGTATCTAGGCTGAGAGAGTATCCCTCCATGTGGAGTGGGCTCCCAAAATCCATTCGTGTACTAGGGATAAATACTGATTCACTGCCAGAGGCCCCATAGATTAACCAGACCTCCAAACTGACACCCATGATCATGGGGTCTGGAACAGTCCTATGCTGGTTTCCCAGCTATCAGTCTGGGGTCCATGAGCTCCCCCTTGTTCAGGTCAGCTGTTTCTGTGGGTTTCTCCAGCCTGGTCTTGACTCCTTTGCTCATTATTCCTCCCTCTCTGCAACTGGATTCCAGGAGTTTGGCTCAGGAACACTACTTCTTTACAGTGCATTATATACTGAAAATGTTAAGCTCTTTAGTCAGTAAAGTGAAATTTGGTACAGCTGCGTAAAGAATTGTCCTTTGCAAAGCAAAGTCTTTGCCTAAAACTGTGCTGTCTATGGTAACCATAAGTAAGCCGTGGCTATTTACATTAAAATTAATTACAATTAAATTCAGTCACCCATTCACCAGCCACATTTTGAGTGTTCAAGAACTATGGATAGCTCACTGGCTATTGTAGCAAATCCTACTTATTTAAAACATTTACAAGTGTTAAAAGTTTTCAAACCAACCATAAAAGCACTCTTTAAACGCTAGCCATAGTCTTATGACGATATGGCTGTATTCTTTTTCTCCCTACTTGCCCAAGTTTAATTATATGCATTCAGTACATTTGCCTATTTCCTAAAAATGAAGTATTCTCTCAAAGGAGAGCCGTAAATGGTGTAGCTAAAAAAGAGAGAAAGTAAAATAGAAAAAAGGCAAAAAATGTTTTCACAGTCCTTGAATGTAATTCTGGATGAAGTGTCAGAAATAGTTTGAGTAATCATCACATCCTAACAGGGCCACTGCCTCCAAGTTAATGAGCCTTATCTATGTATAGATATTTGCATGATTGTTTCAAAATCAGTCATTTTTAGCCACTGTTTGCATATTAACTGAATATAGAAGATATGTAATACCTTCTGGTTGCTGCATTACTAAGTAGAATAAAGGGATCTCATCAGTGGACTCTGGCCTACACACACACTAAGGTCTTTTAGCAAGCCTTCCTTCCACAGGTTCCATACATTCCTGTCTTTTCATCATACTTCTTCTAACGATGCTTTTTCTTTGTCTCTCTCTTAAAACATTCACTAGGTTCCTCTAGAGAGCTATCACCTCACCTACCAACTTGGAAAACTTCATTTTGCTGCAATTTTTTTCCTATCATACTAAATTGGTGTTTGTAAAAACTACAGGCTGAAAGAATTTCTGCGATATATTCAACGGAAGATTGGATGAATGTCCAAAGAGTACTTCACTGCATCTGACAGGTAGGGCTATTACTAAGATCAGAGAACGTAGAAGGTTGAGTTCTGTTGTGAATTAAATACAGGCTCAAAATCTTGGCTGGCTCTATCATGCAACAGCTGCAGGATCTGGGAACCTCAGATTCCTCATTTTAAAGTAAGGACCCAGACCAGCCTCTTAACGTAATGAAATTGTTCACACATATAACTGTCATAAAAGATACAGAACCATAAATGCCTTTGTGTGGTCATATTTTGTTTATGATCTAACAAATGAAGCTTGTCTAAGATCAGAGAAGCAAAGTGGTCAGCCACTAGAGAGTTCTCAATCTACCAATGCTCGAACCAATGGGGAGATTCTGTCCTGGTTTCATCTCCAGACTGCACTGCTCTCTACCAAACCTCAGACTGGACTGCTTCTGTCTCCTCCTGCCTTATAGTCCTCCCTAGTGCTGGGATTAAAGGCGTGGAATCCTAAGTGGTGAGATCACCTTTCCGTGAGTTCTGTTTCTCTTTTAGACTGGATCAATTTCGTGTAGCTCAGGGTGGCTTTGAACTCACAGAGATCCATCTGCCTTTGTGCCCCGAGGGCTGGTATTAGAGGTGTGGCAACTACTGGCTTGATTCTATGGCTAACTAGTGTGGCTAGCTTTGCACTATGATCTTCAGGCAAGCTTCATTTGTTAGCTCATAAACACAGTATCATCACACCTTTGTATTTCAGGATGCTAAATTCTTCCCATATACTTAGGAAAGGCTTTAATGGCGCTATCAAACCAGAAACCCTTAAGGGGATGACTAAAGATCGAAATTCTCCACAGGATGTCAGTCACTCAATAGTGTTAATGTTTTCCTAAAGAGAGATGAGATTTAACCACTCATAATCATGACAGGATCCACAGACTGCTATTTGGAAAAGCAAATGAAAGTCTTAAAGGTCAAATACAGGCTTACAAATAAGGCAGAAAAAGAAAGGGATATTTCCACAAAGTTACTAAATACTAAATAGCTACTTTGACTCTGGGAAGAAAATATGTGACAAAAGACATTAAGGTTTGGAAAAAGTGATGAAAAATGTAAGCAGTGATCAAATACTCTAAGGTTACTTACCAGGGGAAAAACAGAAAGTTTGTCATCATAGCCAGAACTACCTAATTCAAACACTGCTTTATTAAATTGATGCCCCAAAGACAGAAAGTTCAGCCCTATTTGGGTAAACTTTTACTTCCCCTGACTCCTTCATACACCATAGATTTTAAGATATGTGAAACCATACCAGGGGGTACAAGCTATCTTAAGAACAGGAGAGAACTGGTCACAAGAGGTTATTTTATAAGAAATTTCAATGTAGCTCTCTAACCACCACTTAAATGTTACATTAGCAGTAGACTTGTAACAGAATGTGCACAGAGAAAGCTTAACAGTATTTTAAAACATCCCTCCTAGAGATAAAGTACAGGGGCATATAATCTATATGATTCAAACCCAAGGCTTCATATATATAAATTGAGTTTTATTCTTCCCCTTCATATGTAGGCACTAGCAATGTAAACAAATGACCTTAGCAACAGTTTGATACACAAATTCTAAGGAAAATATAATGCACCCTGACCAAAGCCAACATAAACACAAAGAAAACAGTATCCACTGACTTGCTTTCTTGGTGTTTATATGCTGTTCATATAAGTTATCACATAGCTTTTCAGGTTTATTGGGTTCCCCGAATAAGTAACAAAAGCAAATGTCACAGCAGGTAAAAATAGGTAAGAAATTACAGGAGACTTCAAACTAGAAGAGTTAATAAAATGAAATCTGATACATAAACTGGAGATTTATGACATCTTTGTGTCCACAGTTAAAACTCGTTGTAGAACTGTAGTTATGTGATGCTAAGGCAATGTCTCAGCAACAAGTATGCGCAAAGATAATGAAATTGAAAAGTGAGCAGGAAATAGAATCCATTTAATTTCTTCAAGCTAAATTTCATCACTTCAGTGTCAGAAGTCTGATTTCAAATCCCAGATCCAAACTTTCAGCACTCTAACAAGCATTTGTAATTATTTAGCTCCATCCTTAAGTAAATGAAAACAGCAGAAGAAAGTAATGGAGGCAAAGCAGTGCGTAGGACTTCACACCTGGTAGATATTATCATAACCATGATGGCAATCATCTCCCAGAGTCGGTCAGAATCTCCATGATGGCAATCATCTCCCAGAGTCGGTCAGAATCTGAACTCCCAAGTACTACATGCTAGGTTTTGCATATGATTGAAAATTTGAGGTTATCAGAATATGTGAGTATGGAATTGGAAAATGCACATTGCCAAGGTGGGGTGCTACATCCAGAAAGACACTAAATCTTTAAATGAGAATGTAGATTTGGGAGGATAAAATGTGGCAATTTACATCATTAATTTTTTAACATTCAAATTAACATTCATACTCAAGTTTGCTGGCTTTCAGAGAAAACCATGAATGTGAGTTTATGTGCATTTTATATAGGTTTATAAATTTATCAAGCTTGTGAAAGTTCATTTGTTACAAAATACTGATTTCTACCAGTCAATGTAGCTAAAATGACATGCGGGGCACTTCAAGAAAAGCCCCCCCCCTTTGTTAAAGATAGGGTCTCACTATGTGCCCCTTGCTGGCAATGGAACTTAGAGACCCACCAACATCTGTCTCAGGTGCTGGGATTACAGGTGTTAGCCACCATGCCTGGCATTAAAAACATCTTGACAGCCGGGCGGTGGTGGCGCAAGCCTTTAATCCCAGCACTCGGGAGGCAGAGGCAGGCGGATCTCTGTGAGTTCGAGGCCAGGCTGGACGGACAGCCTCCAAAACAATCCAGAGAAACCCTGTCTTGTAAAACAAACAAACAAAAAAAAACAAACAAAACAAACAAACAAACAAAAAAACATCTTGACTGTACTGTATACTAATTAACTATTACCTATGGTAACAATACATTAATGAGTCTTTTCTCAGATGCCAAGCTTAAAACCAAAGGTATTTAAGTCTGACAGCATGTTTACATATAATAATTAGATATTAGCCATTATAATTTGAAATTAAAAAGTTTTGTATCAGGCTAGAGAGATGGCTCAGAAGTTAAGAGCACTAGCTGCTCTTGCAGAGGACTCAGGTTCAATTCCCAGGATCCACATGGCAGATCACAACTATATAACTCCAGTTTCAGGGGATCTGACACCTTCACACCAATCCATATAAAATAAAGTTAGATAAATTATTTTTAAAAAGTTTTGTATATTTCCAACATGATTTACTAATTTTCATTTTATCATACAAAACCTAGAATATTTGTATATAGAGTACTTTGACATCTGAACGGCACCCATTCTACATCTAAAGTGAAGTTAATTATCATTCTCAACACACCAATAGTGCAATATACAAAAAAAACTACATAGGGTCAGATGATCCTAGAATAAAAATATATTCCAATGTATTGCAACATTACTGGTTTAAGCAAATTGTTTTGTAAAGATCATGAGATACAAATCAAAGTGTCTTCATATTTTAAATAATATGCCTGAAGGCCTCAAAAGCTAGTACATGTGACCAACTTTTTCTAGGTTAAAGAAACACCAAAGCTTAAAAGTAGAGGCTCTGGTGATTACTGAATCTAACTTTTAACTTAAAAAAAAAAACAACCCCAAAACAGGGCCTGGTCTTGAGACTGCTCAGCAGGTAAAGGCTTACAGACCTGAGTTCCATCCCCAGTAGCCACATGGTGGAGATAGACAGCAAAGCTCTGTAAGTTGTCCTCTGACCTCCACAAGTGTGACATAGGATACACACAGGCACCCCCCCCACACACACAGTCACAAATAAATCTAATAAAAGCTTAGAAAAAACAAAAGAACTAGTTGGCCCTTAGCATGCCAGAAGCATGATTTGTGAATTTGGAATCTTTAATTTAGTGATCTTTTGAAAAAAGAATCAAATTATTCCTACCATATGTTTTACAAAATTATTCTGCAAACTTAATGTGCTCAGAGTATGTGCAACTATCCTTCAGAATATAGTAGTTCTGGTAAGCAAATCAAAGACTGTATTGAATTACACCGAATTTAACTCGTTTGGCTTTAAATTTTTATTTCTATCAATTTAATCATCTACTTCACTCAAAAGCAACTCAGCATGCTTCCACTTTGCCTTTTCTGGTCACAGCCAATATTCTAAGTGATGTAAAATTTAAAGCTATTCCAGCATAGACAAAAAAACAATCACAACAGCCATTCCTCAACATACATTTTTTCAAAGTATTACATTTTCCCTCAAGGAATAAAGGGATAATCCATAATCCATTCCTTTTTGTTCACCTTCAAATTAAGATGTCGCTGAAAAACAAAGCCAAGAAAAAACAGGGGATTAATAGCAAAAACAGAGTACTTAAAAATATTCTAGTCAGTTTGTAAGAAAATTACTGGAGCCAATAAGTCCTTCAAGTGTGGGATAGGCTACTTGTCATTGATGACAAGCCAACTTCATTAAAAGCCACTAACAGTGAACTCACATCTAAGCTGGTATTAGGGATAAACAAAAATACTTCTTAACTATTATCCCTTGCTCATCGGTGTCTCAGTGGCCCAACTCAAGTAGCTACAACTGTCAGTCTAGAATCTCGAAATCTAATGCAAACTAACCAAAACTAACTGCAACAATTTTTTTATCACAGCAATTTGAAAATAAATACACAGGCAAAATTAATAACACAAATGCTGTGTTATTCGTGTCTCTTCACTACAAAAGGATTGTTTTGCTATAAAATTAGTACTTTACAAGTCTTCCTCATTCATGAAATTTATCCAAAAGCTTGGTAAAGGCATAATTTATTAAAGTCACTTTTCTGATTCTAGCCAAGTATGTCCCATTTGAAATGTCGAAGTTATTTTACAATAAAGTGAAAACTGTTGGGTGCTGGCAATAGCTATTTTCCATGCTCCCTCCATTACTGAAATATCCTAGTGAGGTGGGGGGTCTTACAGAGGTTATACACACTCAAGAAAGGATAATTTATAATATTGCTAGGTGTACATTTATGCACCACAGCTACATATAAATCTTTTTAAGGTTCCTTCTAAAACATAGGATGTTACCTGATATTCAACGTAATAAAAACTCTCAGTAATTCCATAAACGCCTTTTTAAAACCTTAACAATACAGTCCACTGCAACATCGCACAAGTCAAAGCGAATACACTCAAGTTTATGCACTTCAGAGCAGAACAAATATTCCAAACAGTCTTGGTAAAATTCACTAGCAATCACACCGTCCCCGTCAATTTCCTGAAGTTCTGCTGTCGCAAATATCCGGGTCCTTGAGAACTTCCAACAGAGAAAATTTTAAATACTGTGAGACATGGGTATCCCTGAATTTCTCCCAGTTAGAGAGAGGCTAGGAGGCCGTGGCCATTACCGCTGGCCCGCTTCTTCAACGGCTCTCTCAGATGTCACGGGCTTCCCGAAACTTTTAGATCTAAAAGCCGCCTCGGAGATCCACAAAGAGAGGCCACTCCGAACCAGTTGCCATTGTGATTTCGGGCCGCCTAGCGCTCCTCACTCCCTCCACACCCCTCCCTCACCCCGAACACGGGAGCTCTCCGAAGTCTGGGCCGGGGACGGAAACCCAGGGGCTCCGATCGCGTCCAGGCGAGGCAGGAGGCGGCCGTGCCGGGGCACCCCCCGCTCCTGCAGGGCTCCCCGCGCGCGCGCGTGCGTGCGTGTCAGGCCCGGCACCCACCGGGAGAGGGTTACTAGGGGAAAGCGGGACTGGAGCCGCCGCCACCTCTCCGCAGCCGGCCCGGATGCCCCGTCCCCGCGTTCCCGCTTCGCCCGCCCACTGAGCTCGGCCACGCAACGGCCTCAGTTGCCCGCGCTCCTTCGAGGTGCGCCGGGCGCCGGGGCCTGGGGCGGGAGTGCGAGCGCGGGCGACGGCTACAGGCCCCGAGGCCACCGCTCCCCTCAAGCCACAGCCCGCCGAGCCCGCGGGGCCTGCCCGCCGCCGCCCGGGACACAGGGAGGGAAGGAGGCCGGGGACCCGGCCTGTCCGGCAGCCGGTTACCTTGTAGAAAGCGCCATTGGAGCCCCGCACTTCCACCGCCAGCTCCTCCATCTTCTCGTCCGTCCTCGCGCCGGGAGCCCGCCTCCGAGAGGTGGGCTGCAGGCGCTCCAGGCCCAGCCGCCGCCGCCGCCGCCGCGTTACCGCGCGCCCCCCGGCAGCGGCGCCGCCGTCACTGCCACCGCCCGCGCTCGCCGTCCGTTGGCTGCACCGCCCGCCCTCTCAGGCGCGGCCCCTCACCGGAAGTGAAACCGAAAGGCTGCCGAGCGCCTGACTGACTGAGGCCGACCGCTCGGCCCGCGCCTCGTGTAAACAGGCAAACGACATCACGTGACCGGAGACGCCCCGCCCCGCAGTGGGCTCCGCCCCCGCCGTCCCGCCCTCGGCTCCCCCCCCACCCCCCGGGCAGGGGAGCACGCGCATGCGCCCTCCTGGGAACCTGCCCTAGGGAACAGGGCGGACCCTGTGGCGAGCTCTTGGTGGAAGGCGGGAAAGCGCCAAGGGTGGTGACAGGTAGGGCTGCCTCTGGTCAGCCGGCTGGGTCTACAGACCTTTTCTGGAGAGGACGAAGCGAGGGCGTGGGAAAAGGCCTTCAGTTGTTGAACAGGGGGCCCGAGTGGGCTGGAGGGGCTTTGGGTAGATTTTTCTCGGCAGTAGCTTTGACCTGATTGATCTGGAGGTTGCACCAGGAGGGGCAGTCAAGAAAAGTGTTGAATTCGGTTGCAGAGCACTTTGATCTAGAACAGCGCTAACCGCATTGACCCTGACTTCTGAGACCCGTACGATCAGAAGGCAGAGTAAATCACTATACTACCAATCGATGTAGGCAAGTAGTGTCGGTACATCCTGTAGTTTCTGAGGAGCAATGGGGTGTCAGGACTTTAGGAAATGTTATCCCTTTCTCACACAATGCTGGCCCACACACTTTACTTGCGTGCTTTTACTTGGCATTCGAAATAAAAGAGAAACAAAGAATGTTTTAAACACTTGGTAATTTCCTCACAATTTCCATCTACCTCTTCTCTGCGTGCGTGCTCTGTACCAGAGGATGAACATCAGTAAAGCAGTCTACATGCATCTTTGTGCCCTTTCCATGCAACTCTCTTCCTTTACCTTCTTCAGCACAAGCAAGCCTAACGTTTTTTTCTTCTGGCCCCTGTAATAGGCTTGTGTCCAGCCTGACCCATGTTCCCTTAAACTAGGCGTGTATCCAACTGAGGAGTTCACTGAATGACTACCATGTGCCAAACACTGTATTAAGTGCTAGTGAGTCACAGTAAGGAAAAAAATCATCATTGAAATGGGAATCTACAGGACTAGATGAGCAAAATTTAACTTTTCAAAACTGATTAAAGCATTTGCCATGCTAGCACAAAATTCTGAATTTTTGAAGCCTTAGGATCCATATAAAGCTGGCTTTAGCAGTGCCTGTATATAGTCTAAGTAAGCACTCACACAGAGTTGAGTCCCCAGAAATTCACAGGTTAGGGTGCCTTACCCAACTGCGATCAACAAAAAGGAGACCTTATCACTAGGTAGAAGGCAAGGACTAGCACCGGAGGTTATCCTCTGACCTCCACGGGTGTGCTGTGGCTATGTGGGTGCCCATACTCTCTCTCTCTCTCTCTCTCTCTCTCTCTCTCTCTCTCTCTCTCTCTCTCTCTCTCTCTCTCTCTCTCTCTCTCACACACACACACACACACACACAGAGAGAGAGAGAGAGAGAGAGAGAGAGAGAGAGAGATGTGTGAGAGAGAAATGTAAATGTGGAAATACAACTCCGATGAAGTCTATAATGTGTGGGTGTACCTTTTTATATAGTTGGATATAATCTGTCTGTGGTATGGGAGAGGTGACCACAGAAGCAAGATGATTCCAGCTGGAATGTGATAGGGAAGACTTATTTGTAAGTGTGCACGTGGAGAAAGAAGGGTGACTTGCCCCAGGCATATGAACTAGTACTTGAATGAAAGGTATGCTGGGCTTCCAGTCCCGAGCCTGCCCTAGCCAGAACAATGTTAATGCTGTTGGAACTCCAGCTTTAAGGCAGTAGATCAAGGGCCATATCCCTTGAGGCTACAGTATATAGAAAGGATCTATTGAACTAGGGTGTTTGGAGTAGCCACAATATATTAAGACCCCAGTAGAGCTGAAAACAAATCTCACCGTAGACATTAACTCCAGTGTGGTACAAGGGGACATATTGATTACAAAGATTATGTCTTCCGGGTGTTACATATGCAGATTGCCCAGGGCTTTCAAACATGTCAGTACTTTACAAACGTCATTGTCCCATGACATAGGTGCATGATTTCATGTCACTGTACATACTTTTCTTTTCCCTTAAATGTACTAGGTAGAGTCCAAGTGTTTAGTTGTTTCACTTCAAATGCAAATATTTGAGTGAACTTTTTTGTTTTGTTTTATTTTTTATTCATTGAGTGAACTTTTTATTCAATTTTCAGCATGCTCTCCTTGGTTCTTATATGGTCCCTCTTTTGCTCATATTACTGTATATGTTATTTGCATTCATCTTTCTCATTCACCTCTCTCATTCCTCTAGAAATCAATTGTCTATTAATAAATAGTTTAAGATAGTATTTTTAAGGCCAGATTCTCTTCTAGGGCAGGCTGACCAGAACTCAGTATGCAGTAGGAGCTATTCTTCACTTCTAGAGTGCTGGGATTAAAGACATGTATCACCAAGCCTGCCTCAAATAGATAGCACTTGTGTGTAGTTTTTATGTTTACAGAGATGCTACTAGACTGTAAATCTGCTTCCCCCTGTTACCATTAAATTGTATTTTAAAGTTTTCTTTTGAGTCAGGGTCTCACTATTAGCCTTGGATGGCCTTGAATTCACAATAATCTGTTTGATTCTGCCACCCCAGTGGCATGAAAACTCTTGCAATTGTCTTCACACACTTTGGAAAGAATTGTGTGTGTGTTCTCTTACAGAGTTGTGTATACACTTCCTGTTTCTTTTTTGTACTGAATTTCTTAATAGTTTTAATATTTTCCTGCCATATATAATACACTAGAATTATTTACTTACATTTATTTTCTTCACTGGATAGTTAGTACAATCTAGGGAGAAAAATGTCTTCTTTGCCCTTGTACTCTAGGTAGATTAAAAGGGTTTGCTGTTTTTCCTTACTACTTGGATACGGTGTGGATTTATATTTCCTCCTGTTTTTATTTCTGAGGTGGAGTTGTACTTTTCAGCTAATGAGGGGTCTTTCCTCCTTGAGTTGATGTCTCACTCAGTCTCGCTCTGAAGCCTTGATTTTGAAATTCCCCCTGCAAGACAGTTTAGCCCTAATTACAATACTTGATCTTCCAATTATCTTTCCTCTCTGGTCCTGGTGACCTGAGTTGCCCAAACTGTGTCATTTTGACTTAGATTTTTCTCAGACCTGATCCCATACCAAATCTTGTCAGAGTCCAGAATCTACTTCTTACCAAATGCACATTGTCAATATGTCCCATCTTTTACCTGGTTTCCTGTAGCCATTCTTCTTTTCTTTTTGTCATTTCCCCCAAACAACACCCACGCTTACTGTCATACCTGTCACACTGCCATTCAAAAACTTCGATGGGTCCCTGGTAAAATTACTTTGGTAAGATCTAAAATTATTATTTATTCAAGTCTCAGTGTTTGACACATTCTGGTATCTTTTATCTCTTATGCATTATATTCTAAATTTCACAATCTCTCTATGTATCTATGATACTTTTTTGGTGTATTGAAAACATCAGGCAAGTAGTCTTTTTTCATTAGAATGTAAACTTAATACGAAAAATAATTTTTTCTTATTTATTGCTGTGTCACCAATATCTGGAACATAGTTGATGGTTTCTAAATATTTATGGAATGAATGAGTAAGTGAATGAATGAATACATCCCTACACTTCAGAACTTCTGTTCCCACTTTGGCCCCTACCTTCCATTAAATAACAATCTGTTGTCTGCATTGATTTCGTCGATATTTTATGGTTTTGTAACTTGAGTCTTCTATGCCTGTTTCATTTCTCAATCCCAGTGGAAATGTCTTCTATCTTTTCCAAATATGGAAATCTTATGTGCCATTCAAGACACTGCTAAAATCTGACTTTTTTCATGCCATTTTCTCTAAACATGTCAGCTTGCTTTGACCTCTCCTTTGAAACAGATATTCAAAAAATATAACTGCAGTACTTCAGGTTTACAGAAAATGGGGCACTTAGTTCAGTATTCTACTCTTCTCATATACTGCCCTTGAAGAATGCACTTTGTTGTTAATATCTCCCACTAGCATGAGAACATTAAGCATAACTGATCTGTCAGTGGTGAACTATATGTGTTATGCAGTTTTATGGGTTTTGACAAGTCTATGAAGTATCCACCATGGCATTATCACACAAAATAGTTATATTACCAAAAGTTTTCCTTGTTCTGCTTATACTGCACCTAACCAATAACTGCTTACAGTTTTACTGTCTGTTTAGTTTCACCCTTTTATGAACTTTCTTCTATAGTTTTATTTTTATTTTGGTATGGGGACATGCGTTTTAACCCCATTGAGTAGAAAGAAAGACGTATGGTTATTCATTCATGCAGCAAAACAGTATTTGAACTTGTACCAATTTGCTGAAAGCTCTTCCAAATTGGATGTACCATTTTGCATTCTCATCAGTTAATAGGTGAGAATTCCCATTGCTCCTTTCCCTTGTCTAATAGTGTATGGTATTGATATCTTTCATATGTTTTGCCACCTGTGAATTTATTTTAATTAGATGTACACAAAATGTTTTAACATTTCTATTAGGTTATCTTTTATATGGTGTTTTAAAAACACACATACAGTGTATGTCTGTGTATGGGTATGTGCATGTGAGTGCAAATGCCCATTGAGGCCACTAGCATCAGATTCCCATGGGGCTGGAGAGTCACAGGACATGGGTGGTAGGTACTGAACTCAGGTCCTCTGCAAGAGCAGTATGCACTTTTGACCTTTGAGCCTTCTCTCCAGCTCCTTGGGTTTCTTAGTTGCTGCAATTGTAACATGCTGATATGAAAAGTTAGCATTAGTGGAAGTCAGGTGAGGTAAATGGAAACTATTTGTTTCTTTGTTGTTGTTTTCTTAATTGAAGCTTTCAATATAAATTGTTTATTAACAATTATTTAAAGCTGGTGGTGTAACTCAGTTAATGGAGCCCTTGCTTAGTATGCACAAAACCCAGGTTTTGATCCCCAGCACTACATAAACTCAGGCTTCATAATGCATGCCTCTAGAGCCAG